TTAGAGTACTTTACTAGCCTTTAAAGCTTAAGCAAGTAATAGTGCTACTAAGTAGAGGAACTTTTAAAATATTAGTATATCCTATAGTATAGACCTAGCTATCTTGCAGGATAACCTAACGCCTTAAGTAGGCAACCACAAGACTTAAACTCCTCTAAAGCAATACTATAGTTAGTAATACGCCCTAAATTAATTTAGGTTATAGTATTAGAAGTAGAGGAGGCGTCTAAGTTACTAAAGGGCGCTAGCCTTTTTACTAACCTATATATATAGATACTATAGGACAAAGTAGTATTAGAAGATAAGATATACTAAGTGCGTCTTAATATAGTTTAGAAAGGCGCTAGGTCTTTCCTAGTTCTAGCTAATATAAAGTAATAGATTAGGGACTATGCAATTAGTGTACACAGCACTTTGCTTTAGAGGGGCGTTATTTAGTTACTAATATAGGAACCCCTTATAACTACTATTATATAGCAAGCATATAAATTAGGTTTAGTAGGATATTTAGGAAAGAATATAATATTTTAAATACTACGCTGCAACTATTATTAGGATAGAATATTAGGAGATATTATATAGTATATTTAGAACTGCTATTATTATAGTACTTATATCTCCTAGAGGCGCTAATAGGGTCTATTATAACCTATACTAGTTACGTTATAATACTAGTCCTAAATATTTATAGATTTTATAGTTAACCTACCTACAAAAGATAATAGTAAACCTTAGTACCTATTAGTTATTACTAATAGATTATCTAAATATATTTAGCTTAAGGTAATAGTCTCTATAGTAGCTAATTATTGTGCAAGGATCTTCTAGGATAACTAGTAGTAGTTCTAGGGCTTCCTATCCTCTATTATTACTAACTAAGGCTCTAACTAGTTAGGATCTTTCTAGATAATATTGTGCTAGATAATAAAGATAAACTAGTTACTATCTACTGCATACCACCCTTAGATAGATAGCAGGACAAAGTAGGTAAACTAAGAAGTGTAGGTAGTGCTGCGTATAATAGTATACTTTAAGCAGACTAACTAGCCTAACTGCCTACTAGCCTGCTAACTTACACTTAATAATAGGGACTCTAGCATAACTAGTGTTAGCCTAAATCTACTTTTAAATAGGTATACTATAGACAGGCTATAAAAGTTAATATTACTACTAGTAAAGCCTAAGAATCCTTATAGGGAGGCTATAGCGTTCTTGTTGCACCTATAGAGAGGTGTAGAGCTAGTATAAGCTACTATTATATTCTAATAGTAATAATAATAGGAAGTAATAAACTAGTCCTAATACCTAGCTAAAATATTCCTAAAAAGTAATATAGTTTAGTTTATAATACGTAATATAAAGATAAACTAACTAAGTAAAAGGTTTAACTAGCTATAGGTAAAGTATAAAGTAATAGAAGTTCCTACTCTACTTATAGTAGTATTAGACTTACTAGGGAGCTTATATAAGACTATATATATAGATCTACTAGAGAGAGCTACTAATAACCTACTACTAAGCTAGAAGCTTTAGGACTTATAACTAGGTCTAATAGTTACTCTAGAAAATAAAGATATAACACTAGATAAATAGGAAGTAGAAGAGATCCTTTATATAAAGAATATAAGAGGAAAAGGAAAGTATTAAGTCCTAGTAAAATAGAAGGGGTATATTAATCTAATATAGCACCTACTAGAGGTAGTATAGAATACTAAGGCTCTAGATAGGTTTAAGAAATAGTATAGGGATACTATATATAATAATAGCCTAATATATATAAAAACTAGGAAGTAAGGGTAAAAGGAAACTAGAATAATAACTTAGACCTTTATTATAATTAAGAAGTAGAAAGGTATTAGAGAAATCTTTTAATTATCCTTATAATACTCTAAGTAAGTGCCCTACTACTAAAGTTTTATAATATAGCTAATAATTAGGTAGTAGTATCTATACTATTACTATCTATAACTAACCCCCCCTTAGCCCCCCCTAAACTATTATTTATATTATTCTAACGCCTCTATATCTCTTAGTAATAGTAGTAACGCTTACGCGTAGCGTAAGTAGGGGACAACTTAGTTAACAAGTATAAGTAGTAGTAGTAGTAGTATTAGGAGGAGGGTAGTGCTTTAATAGCTTACTAACGTGTAGCACCCTAGGCCTAAAGAAAATAAATATTAGAATAGATATAAAGGGAATAAGGGAAAACTAATACTAATAATAAGAGTCTTAATACCTTAGGTAGTATGCTTAGTAGCGCTCTTAAGCCTATTAATATAAAGGTTAGTTTAGGCCTAGGTCTTATTTATACGCTAGTTAATACGCTAGAAGGTAATACTAGTAGTAGTAGTAAGCTATATAATATTATTATTACTATAACTACTATATAAAGGCGTAATAGTAGACTAAAGAGGAAATACTAGAGTACTAGTAGTAGATAGAATAATAGTACTAAGCTAATACTAATTATAGGCGCGTAAGTAAGTAGTAGGGGCAAGTAGAGTAATAGTATTATTAGTTTAAGCCCTTAATATAAGATCCTTAAAATAATAGTAGAGCTAGTAGAACTATAGTATAAACTAGTAATAGGTGCCTTTAGTAGGTTTCCCTATAAAAGTGCTAAGGGTCCCCTTCTTTATAATATAAAGGTGATCCTTCTAGTAACTATAATAAAACTAAAGCTAGTTATAGAGGGCTTAGTAAATATTAGGATTATTAGTAAGGATAGCTTCTAACTAAGTATAAGTCTTATAGCTATAATAGTAGGACTTATATAAGTACCCTAGATATAGTTAGAACTTGCTATAAAGGAAATAAAAATTAAGGGGAACTTACTACTACCCTCCTAATAGTTACACTTGCTAAAGAGATAAAGCTAGTTAATATACTAATTATAGGGAAGTAGCTTTATAAAGCTACTATTATATTCCTTATTATCTAAGTTACTAGAAATAATAAAGCTACTAAGTAACTAGGATTAGGGAGATATATACTAAATAAAAAGTTAGTGCAGGAAATATAGGGAGAATATTAGAAGTACACACCTTATCTTAGTAGGCCTAGCGTGGGGTCTAACTACCTTATAGTAGATCCCTACTACTAGTACTAGTAGCTATAGATAAAGATATAATAGGGACTAGATAGGCAGGATTAATAGAAAAAGATTAGAGAAAGGGCTAATTAGTAGGGAAAATCTATTATATAACAAAGTAAGTTTAAGAAATTTTTAGTAGGGTAGGATAGCTATATTAGAACTTTTATAAGTAGGGTGCTAAAATAAGCGTATAGACGCTACACGCGCGTACTACTTAATATATAGGCCTGTTATAAATTAGGAAGGAATATAAAGATATAATAATAAAACTAAAAAATATAGTAATAAAGCCTAATATAGATTATAGAGGATAAAGATATAACCTTAAACCCCTAGAAAGATAATTTCACGATAGTCTATAGGGGAAGGTTAGGGGTATGTAAAGGACTTAGGCTTATACCTAAGCCTAGGTCTAACACAAGATAGACTAAGTCTAACACTACTACTAAGCAAACACACTAGACACCTATAAAAAGGCGTGGAGGGCTTATCTCTCCTTTAAGATACTGAATACTATTATTAACGCTCATTGCATTCTCCCTTGAGGCCAGTCCATAACACCAACCTAGATTTACCAGCCTATCTTCGTCTAAGTATGCCTTGTTAACATTAGGATCCAGAATTTTTTTCTTGAGGTTAACAAGATAGGAGACAATTACCGTAATTTAGCTGGAGCGTCCAAGGGAAACTAGGGATTGCTTCAGTAGGAACAGGTTTTACCTAACTGTAGCTTCAACGCTGTACTTCATATCTTCAACCACACATCTTGCTATCACCACTACTCCCCTGCAGCATGTCTTACGCAGTACTCCTTTTGTAATCCCCAAGTGTCTATATTCCCCATTGCCTCACCATCCAGGGGCAGCTGGTACTCACCTTAACACCCACACTAACATCGCGATATCAAGACAGATATCACAGTAAACATCAATCGCAGTCTCAAATATACCGCAATTGAAATAACAACCATGCCAGGAACATACTCCACATACAACATCATACGCCCCTATTCTCCTAAGCCCACCATCATCCGTCGTCCAGGCTCACCATTGATCTGCTAACTTCAGCCCATATATCCATCACTTCCTTCACACCTCGCGCAACGCAGCCCCTCACTGACCCCTATCCAACTCACCCACCTCCACCTGGACTCCCCAAACTCTCGCCTGCCCTGGCGCGCACAACATCGCTACGTACTACAATAGCAGCGGGTTCAAAAGCCGTCGTTATTAGACAGAGGAGTTTGTGGCTTGTGGTTATGAGATGGGCTGGGGGTGTTCTAGGTATGAATGAGTTTATGGGGACACACGGGATAGGATATTTTTTCGTGCTGGGGAACGTTTAATAGACGGCCGCGTGATATCAATGACGTGTGATTTGTATCCGAGAGGATTTATGGGGTATACCTGATATGTGGGCGGGATTTAGAGGGCAAGGAGGAAGAGAAAAGGTGTTCGACGGCAAACACATGCACCGACTCTACCAGTCCAGCAACAACAAACTCTCCAACCTGACATCCACTAGCAAAACCACAAGAATAACTCGCAAACAACAAGCAAAAGCGCAGAAGCAATGCGCAAAAGTCTCACTTGCAGCAGGATCTCAAACACCCAAATCACAACATGTAAAAGTTTATTGTATTACAATTTGCCCATCGCAGCCATAGCAGCTGTGCGATGCGTCATGCATGCATGTATTTTAGTAGTATAATCTACCCATCGCCGTGCGTCTACATGCTCAGCCAAACCGTCAAAACGCCTTGGAAAATGCAAGTACCATCCAGTGGAGTTGAGGTGTGGAAAGAGAGTAAGACCGGGAAAACAGACACTGCATGAAGAGAATAAATAATGCTATGGGGTATGAAAAAGGCGGGGGGATCGACGCTAAATGGGGTACAAATATATCATTAGATGATTCCATGAATCTTCTCGTGTTGCTCAAGCTCTTTAATGTATTTGACAAAAGACTTCTTGTGGACCTGGTGCAAGAGATGGTGGGTTAGCATTGACTGGCTTCAATCAAGTGACATGAGCATGGGTGGGCTTACCAGGCCAGCGAATTTGCCATCGCGTAGTACACAGATATACCTGAGACCGAGTTTGACAAAGCATTCGTAGACCAAGTCCATTGGGGAATGAACGTCTAATGCCACGGGTGCCGGGTCGATATAAGGAGTAAAGTCACTCGGGTCATAGGATGCTTGTTCTTCCTCGCCATGCTGCTCTCTTCCTGCTGCCCAGTCTTCTTGTGGTGACATGAGACAGAGCGTGTTATCTTCATTCTCAAGCTTGTCCAGCGCGAATTCAAGATCCGGAGCGGGGATGAGGCCGACGAGCACACCGTTCTTTACAATTGGTAGACCGCCGTCTAGTTCACCGCTCATCTGTAACCTCTGTTGCTTCTCACGAAGCTCAGGAGCTGGAATCAGTGATTCTTCCGATACATCGATTATCTTGTCGGGTCTGACACGGGGCGTAATGTCACCGAGCTCTGATGTGAAGATAGGTCGAACTTTGTTGTCCAAGAAAGGGTACGAGTTCATGTCAGTCAGCAAATCGTAGATGCTCAGCGGCTCGATAGCATCAGCTACCCATTTGGCAACCAAAATCCCGAGCGAGAATGGCAGTACATGGTCCAAACTGCCCGTTAGCTCGAAGAGAATAACGGCCAACGTGATAGTCAAACGGGTGACACCTGTCATTGTTGCACCGGCAGCTACCAAGGCGTAGACACCAGGAACAACACATGAGCCAGGCGGACCTGATGGAACACACTCGCCAAATACGCCAAGATGGCTATAGCGGAGAGCAAAGAGCTGCACGGAATGACCAATGAAGCGACCTGCTAGACCACCAACTACCATGGAAGGTACATAGATACCAGCGGGCACCTTGAGACCAAAAGTGATGATGGTAAGACTAGCCTTGATGAGGAAAGCGACAAACAGTACTTTGAGCACGTCCGGGATGTGTTCCCTCGTTGGACAGAGACCGTCACCGGAATCTGTGTAGGTGTCGCAAGGACTGGCCAGCTCAAACAGTAATTCTGTGACAGGAAGCTTCGTGTATCGATTCCAGAAGCTCACAAGGCCAGTGGTCAAAGCGACTAGGAAGACTTCCAGAACCGGATGCTTTTTGATGATGGGAATCCGTCGAAATGTTCGCGCCCAAATGCGCGAGGCCTTGATGAAGAGGGCCCCAAGCACGCCACCGACAGCTCCAGTGAAGATGAAGGACACTAACTCGAAGAATTTCCAGTCTAGATTGTATCTTACTTCGAACAGGACGATTTTCTTGGTCCCATAGGGATCCAGAAATTTCAAAGACAGAGCAGCTGCCTGGGGTCTGGTTAGCTTCGGGTACGCAGTTTGGTGGAACTACTTACGATGCAACAGAAAAAGGTCCGAAACAGAGTCTTTGACGGAAAGTAATAGCTGACTTCCTCAAGACTAAACAAAACACCACCGATAGGGGCACCAAAAGCAACTGCTACTCCACTTGCAGCACTGGCACTCAAAATCTCTCTTCGCTTCCCATCATTGTTCCTGTACTTGGAGAATATACGACAAGCAATGTTTCCAATGCAGGTGGCAATATGCACATAAGGCCCCTCCTTGCCTAGACTGAGTCCAGAGGCCACACTGAGGATCAAGGCGAGTGTTTTGATAACCAGTGTGCGAACACCGAGATAGCCGTGAAGAACGAACCCACTCAGTATGACTTTGACTTCGGCTACACCACTACCTGCAGCGGAATAGTATACCATAGGTGGACGGATCTGGGCCTCTTGCAACTGTCCTTCCGGGCTACCACTTTGTTTGGGGTCGTCGTCGTCATGATCGGCGTATCTGCGTACTTCAGCGCCAAGATTTTCGTCAAGTGTAGTGAGTGAGACGGCGGAAGGGATGACGGTCTTGGTCGTCAAGGTCAGGAGACAGGAGGCCATGGACAGGACGACCACGGAGAGGACAAAGAATCCATATTGCGTCTGGACGACATCCAGCCTGTCACTGCGGAAGAACTTGGACCAATGGACCCAGTTGTCGCAGATGGAGGCGCCGTCGCAGCAGGTCTTGCGGCTCTTGGTCCAGCCGCTGGTACAGTGTCCCTGCTTCAGATCGAAGAGAACAGTCTCGGTAGTGTTGACCAGATAGGCACATACCGCGGTCAGGACGCCGATGAGAGCTACCAGGATCCAGCCCTGGGCTCCATCGCACCATGCCGCCAGCCGACCCCTGATGTCTCTACGGTTGCGGAGCGCCTTGACGCGGTAGGCATCCGCAATGTTGTCATGCACCCAGTCGGTCGAGGTAAACTGATCGTACCACACGCGATTGTCCTGCCAAAGAGAGGCCTTGGCTGCGTGCATGCTCTCGTCCAGACCCGCCCGTCGCTCGCCCAGAGCGTTGACCAGCCGCTGGCTAAAGGACTGACCGTTGCTGAAGGAGCCTGCTCTGCTGTGGCGCATGCGTGAGCTCGTAGGAAGCTGGCTGTTGTGTCTCTTGGTGCCAGGCCTGGGCGTAGCCGGTGTTGCTAGACCTGGCAGGCTCGCATATGACCGCGCGGCGGGGCCATGTGGGTTGAGCAGGCTCGACCGCTCATTGATGCTCTCTCGTGACCGTGTGAGATCGTGGTCTGAGCCTCGCATCTGCCTCAGGGGGCGAAAGGTGGCTGTTGGCGACGTCGGCGTAGTGGTGCTGATGGTATCATCGCGTTCACGTTGTTCGGCAGCATAGTCGTCGTAGGTTGCCTCGTCGAAGCTACGGTAGGACTTGGGCATGGCGAGCGTCTGAAGGGGAGGGACGGCCTGTGTCTATGTCAAGGGGGAGGGGCGCAATCAGAGGCCGTGGGACGGCGGGCTGTTATGGCAAAGTCAGACATGGGACGTGGCGTCGATTCGAGGAAACTCGCAGATGATCATCTGGAAGGTCCAAGGCAGTGCGTGTCACGAAGGTCCCATGGGCTGGGCAACACGCTCATCCCCACTACCTTCAAGGAAGGACTTCGGCTGCTTTCTACGGGGAACTACTTTAGGTCACACGCACCGCAATAAGCAGCTCCACAGACGGAGGGAGAGCGGTGCTAGCTGTTGTTTGTCGTCATGTAGAAGTCATGCAGATGTGCTTGGAAGCCAATACAGGCGGTAAGGACGGTGGTGGAGTGTGGAGTGTGGATTGTGGAGCTTCCAACTGTGTACCGGGTAGGCCTCGGTGAAGCTGCTAGAAAGGACAAAGGTAGTCTGGTAGTAACAGTGGTAAGAGTAGGCAGCGGTTAAGGCGCGTGCGTGTGACAAGACCTCGGGATGCGATGACGAAAGTCCGTGGGAAGCGCGCAACATGCTTTGGGGTGGGTAAGCCAAGCCAAGGTCTAGGACTCTCTAGGTAGTGTTGACAGCCAAATTCACTCGGGCTACCCCATTATCGACAGCCACACAGATACGATTCCAGGACAGTAAATAGTCTACTACTGTGGGCAAGTAGCAGATACATGTTACATGTTACATGTGTCCATCTTGCATGGACCAACTACAGGACCAACACTCCCCTCTCTTGCACCTCACTGGGTGTTGTGTGCTTGGCAGGACAAGGACGAGTTAGTAGACCCTTCAGAGTATGTTATCAGCTCGTCTGCGGATCATCTTCGGCCATCGTAAGCCTCAAAACCGATCTATCGCCGAGTTGGACCCAACTGCGGTTCCTCCTGAGCTCATTCGACATCGTCCAGCTACCCTGTAGAGCAACAAGTACATAGTCACAACCATGGTGAGCATCTCCAGGCACTACCATACATGCCGCGGCGAGGCAACCGCTGATCGTTGATTGCAAGCCTGCTCCCTATGACCAGTTCCTCGTCTTTGGAGACAGCATAACCCAGGACAGCTTCAACCAGGACCGAGGATTTGGCTTCTCTGCAGCGCTACAGGCAGGTCAGTTGGAAACCCTGTCTCTCTGTCTTGGTCGGAAGTTATGCTGGGCATCTACACGGCGGTCTCAAGGGCCGTGACTAGGTAGAGAAACTTGTGCTGATGCCCCGCAGCCTACATACGGCGACTCGACGTAGTCAATCGTGGTTTCAGGTGAGGACCCTTTCCGGGAGCATTCCAACGGATCTAACTCAAGTAGCGGTTACAATTCTCGCCAGGCTCTCCAGATCCTACCTGCTATCATTCCTTCCCCGGACGAGGCCAAGCTCCGATTTCTGGTGAGCATCTCAGGGTCCATGTCCGTGACTGTGGCCTTGGTCTGATTGACCTGGTTGACGTTGTAGATCATCTTCTTTGGGGCAAACGACTCGTCGCTGCCTGATGCCCCAAACAAGCAACATGTTCCCCTCGATGAGTATAAAGAGAATCTCGAAAACATCATCCATCACCCAAAAATCGTGGCTCACAGTCCTCGAATCATCTTGGTTGCACCTCCGCCAATCAACGAGCATCTTTTGTGGCCTAGAGACCGGTTGAATGGGTGTACCAGTGTATCACGTCTGGCAGGTACAACCAAGGTGTACGCTGAAGCCGTGTGCGATGTCGGCGACAAGTTCAATGTGCCTGTCGTGAATTTGTGGAAGGCCTTTATGGCCAAGACAGACTTCAACATGGACACATGGAAGCTCGGCGACCTGGTACCTGGGTCTTTGGAAGTTCCACAGAACGATGCCTTGGTGGAGCTCATGTATGATGGTAGGTCGCGAATACTAGACTCTCGTACGGGTTGTCTTGGCAGTCAGTACTGACGAGACGTGCAGGTCTTCATTTCAACCCGGCCGGTTACGAAATCTTCTTTCAAGAGGTCATGAGGTTGGTAGAAGCACAGTGGCCGGACCAAATGCCTGAGAAGCTGCCCATGGTGTTCCCTCCTTGGAATGACCAAGAAGCGTGGCAGAGGTGGGAGAGCGCTCAAGCGTCAGGTCAGTAAGCCCAAGGACGAGCGGCGCAGGTGATATATACATTATATAGGTAGATGGACAGCCTGCCAGTGCATCACTGCATCGTTGCATCATTGCATCACTGCATCACTGCATACTACCTACCATGCCATGCCATGCCATCTTGTCCATGACGCTTGGACGTGATAGACGCGCCTATTCCCTTGTTTGTTGCGATGTGAAATGGATGTGCGGGGCTTGCGGGACGTCTGCCGCTTACCCAATCGGACGGAATGCATTGAAGCCTCTAAACTCCGACTTGGTTGGCGCAACACCTTTCCACTACGAGGTAACTTGTACACACACAACATACATCGCCCATCCAAGACGACCAAACAGTTACCGTGCACAACATACCGGCCCCTGAACCCCTAAATTTCCTTTCCACGCAAACCATTAGATTCTGATCCGCCAATTGCCGTGCACAGCGAGATTCCCTTGGTGCAGTACACAAAATCAATCATTGCTCATCTCATTGCGCACATCTGCCACCGAGCCTTTCGCGCCTCCCCAGAATCCCAGAAGGAACAAGTGCTATACGTTCTGTTGCGCTCGTAATACCTGCTGGAAACACTGCGAGCGCTTTTGTCGCCCAATCTTGTGTCAGACCGTCTTCCTGGACACAGTACTGCCATCTTGAGCGGTCTCCCAGCATAGCACGCACTCCACACCAAGTTGAATCGACAGTAAACATTATCCAACTCCAACACTGGCGGCCTGGCGATTTTCTGGAGAGTGCTGGTAGGGGTGCACATGTACGAGGGAAGGCCGGGGTCTCTTGATTGAGTACTCCCCCCCAAGGGATGAGAAGACTACGGGCATGGATCCTGAAAGCCTAGCCTTTCAGCCCCGCGAAGACTTTTGGCAATTCCAAAACGACATGCTGAGGGTGCAGCAGACACAAGCTGAGCTCACCGACCGCGTCTCACGCCTGGAGCGCAAGCAAGAGGATGACTCACGTCTGAAAAACGTATGGGGCACGTCTTCGCCCTTCCCTTCCGTGCTAGGCGGCACACCCCAACAAGGTACGTGGTGGTAGCCGCGCGCTCTCTCCATGACAGAGGGCTAACAGGGCTGATGTGTACAGTTCCCTTACAGCAGCCGACCGCCGAGCATTTCTCCAACTTCGACGATCATTCAAGCAACCTCATCGGCAATCTCCAGCTCGATGCTGACGAAGAACCTCGTCGTGTAGGCGCCACGTCTCGGGCCAATAGTGTTCGTTTTGATGAGACTGCCAACCATGGGCACTGGGCACACGCGTCAAGGTCGTCACTAGACCTCATACCCCGCACTGGAAGCAGCCTGGGCGGCCACGCTCTGAGTGAGCGAAGCTACTCCCATAAATCAGACGGAAGGCAGAGCTCGGCTGGACAGTCGGTACACTCCATGACATCAGGACGGGCAAACAGCCTCACGAGCGTCAGCACGGCGCCGCCAGCTGACGTGCCGGGACTGGCACCTGGCTTGTTCATCCTTGGCTCTGTACCTGCGATAATACGTTGCTGGCTCAACACGGATTTCAAGCATGCCACTCTGTTGTACGCAGCCGTCTGTTCAGGCTCCTATGCGTCCTATCTCGATCTCCATCTCATCGAACAGCTTGGCTTCCAAGATCGCATCGTTGCCGAAGACGGGATACGCAGAATCAAACTTTCGGTCTATCTTCCTGAAGCAGTGCCAGTGTCACAAGCCTCCCGTTCAAGTAGTCCTGCGCCGCAGCTTCCTTCGTTAGGCGTCGAGTTCACCGTCATCGAGCAGCATAACCCAGATTTGAACCCCAAGGCGATCCAAATCTATCTGGGAAGCGACACGCTTCGCGCACACAATGCTGACATCTTGTTCTCTTCCAATCAGCTCACCATGTTTGACGACGATGGTGGTAAGCTTCGCATTCCTTTGGTGAGACCTGAAGACGACCGCACTTTCAAATCGTTATCTACGATAAACGCGACGTCGGAAGTCACGGGATCGCAGACGTCGGGTCCTTCTGCCAGTAGTCCAGCTTCACGGGAAAAAGTAGCTGAGAGCTCTACCACAACCCCGCAAGCACCAGACACATCGACTTCCAGACTTGACAATGGTACAGTGACAAGCTCATATGAGGGTGGTTCCAGCGGCCGTGCGAGTCTTGAGCAGCGATCTCGTCTTAGTCTATCGACAAGCCGTACAGGTAGCAAAGATGTACAAGACCAGACCTCTGCCAGCGGGGTCCCACGCTCGGGGGCACCTCTTGCTATATGGAGCAATTGGCGACGTGAGCAGCAGGAGAAATCCACCGCTGGCTCCGTGGATTGGGCCAACTTGGGTAAAACCTCGGCTTCCAGTCCTGCCTATCAACGCCGCGATACGGGCATCAAGGTGCTGAAGCCTTCGAAACCGACACGCACCATGTCTACCTCGACCGCATCACCCGTCACCGGGCAGTCTCGCTTCTTCGATGATGGGAAAAGGAAGGACGAGGGCGAGACAAGTACAAGTGCAGCACGTCCTTTGGCCAAACGAGCTGTCTCTGGAGACATGGGCCAGGAGAGTGTGTCAAGTCTGGTGAAGCCTCGTCCAGCCAACCCAGTTGGTGGCGCTTCTGCTTTTGCGTGGCTGAATAGCAGCGAACCCAAGTAAGTGTGCCGGACAGGTGGTAAGATATAAAAGGTTGCACCGCGTTCATGATTGGCTCAGCATCCAAGGCTGAGAGGCCTTGACGGTGTCTGTATGGCCAGGATCTGACTACTGGCTTTCTACCTATATTCAATAGTGAAGCAGATCAGTCCCACTGCATTTCGAATTCCATGTCTACACGTGAATGGTGGTGAAAAAGTGCATGGGGGGGGGGGGGGGGGGAGGGAGGGGGTGTCGGCTCAAGCCTGTGGTAAAATGAGGCTGCATTGTTCCGGATACGTTGCCCAGGGTGTACTTGGCCTGGATGGTATGATGATGCATCTCATATTTATACAGGACAAGAACAAGAGACTGAGGCCCAGTTGACCATTACCTGTGGCGGCTGGCAGAGTCCATTTCTGGTACAATACCAACTTGGAAGTGGAAGTACCTACTGTGTACCTACCTACTACCTTGCGGGTCCCTCCCCCCCTTGGCGCTCTCGCTAAAGCTTTTCGTAAGGCTGAGAAGGCATCTGGTGGTAGTCTAGTGACGACGGAGCAAGTCACCGCCTTGCACTCTTTTCTCTCTTCTCTTTTTCTCCCCTGCCTTCCTGGCAATTGCCCCACGTTCTCACCGCTCATTCTGTCGCCTCTTCCCGTGATCACGGCGAAGAAGCTCGATATCGCTGCGGTCCACGACGCGTTGTCTTGCCGCTGTTGCCCTTTCGTTCGCCGCCGGCCCTGTCTGCCTTGAAGCTCCCAGGGCTTCACGGCGGGCCCCCCAGTTTCACCACGGCCTCCAATCAGAGCAAGAAGCGGAAGATTGTGACGCCAGCCCCGGATCCTTCACGAGACGGGAGACATTCACCGAATGTGGGCACAGGGGTAGGTTCGCCTCGCTCCTCCCCATACCCCTCCGCATCGCCGCCGCGTTATTTACCACCCCACCTGCACGACGAAGTGCTGCCGCTCGACACCGCCCACGACCCTGCAAGTTTGTCTGCGCGAGACAACTCGCCCGGAGCCAGCTCACCAAGCGAGGCCTACGCCAACCTGACGCTCGACAGCCGCGAAGGCTCCATGCCCGCCTCTGAGCGCGCACGCAACTCTGCACAGCCGGATCAACGACACCCACCGCGCTCCTCGTCGCCTGCAAAGCGCCTGCACTCAGACATGGACGACGACACATCCACAGCTGACGCTCCCGCCGCCAGTAGCCGCCGCAACAACAGCGGCGCATCCAGTCCGCGGATAAGCAAAGAACACGCAGGAGCCATGCCCGCGCCGCAACGGAGTGCGCGAGCGACCTCTGTGGACATGGCGGATGCGCCGCGCAACAGTGGCGGTTCCGAGACGGAGGTTTCCAGCGCTGCTTATTCTGCCACCAGTGTCGACCCTGTCAATCTCCCCAGTGTGGATGAGCAGGTGGCTCGGGTCATGGCAATCATGGGCAGTGGTCCCAGGGACGGACAAGAGGGCTACGTAGTGCCAGAGAAATGGCTGGCCCGTGTGTGGTCGAGGACGTCAGAGCATACCCACAACCCTGAGGGTTTTGAAAAAGATGCCATGGTGGGCCCGATTGGACCTGTAGACAACTCGGCTCTCGTGGACCGGAGCACGATGCAGCAAGGCCTCGTTGATGTGGACGGGAACGACTTTGTACCACTCAGCAGTGCAGTCACCATAGGCCAGGATTTCGAGATACTGCCTGCAAAAGCCTGGGAGCTCGTCGTTGGTTGGCACGGGCTCAAGCAAGGGTCACCTGTGATTCGTCGACACGCACACAACACTGTGCCGGACGGCGACACCGAGCACATTCTCTGGGAGCTCTATCCTCCGATTCTTACCATTCGCAAGATACGCAAAACTCCACCAACAGCTGCAGAGACGGCAAGGCCCGCAGAGAAACTAGTGGCCAGTAGATACGGAAGCTTTGCAAACTTTGTCGAAGCTGCGAAGAAGGCTGTTGGGATCGATTTGAACAATAAAGTTCGCATCTGGAGACTTCTGCAGACAGCCCCCACAGACGACTCGCAACCTCCACAGCCGTCCGGTATTCTGACACCAGATGCATCCCCACGCGGCGGCTCACCTGTCACATCCACATCTCCCCCTCCTCTGATCATGGACGTAGCCAGCTTCAATGGCCTCAAGTCTGGGACAGACCGTGAGCTAGTCACTGGCAAAGATGAAGAAGCCAACGAGAAATACAACAAGTCTCTTACTCTAGAGGATGCTGGAATTACTCAAGACCAGATCATTGTCCTCGAGGAGCATGATGAGAGAGGCGAATACATCTCTGACACGAACACGATGGCTACCATAAGCAAGACCAGTAGCCAGATCACTAAAGGCTTGCCAAGTAATCCTAATAGTGGGAGGAACACACCGACATCAGGTGCGCTGACCCGCGGCCGGACTCGATCTGGAAAGGTGCGTGGCCATGTTGGACTGACCAATCTCGGCAACACCTGCTACATGAACTCTGCTCTTCAGTGTTTGCGTAGCGTGGAAGAGCTTAGCATGTACTTCCTGAACAACAAGTGGAAGGAGGAGATCAACGTCGACAACCCAATCGGTCACAAAGGGGCGATAGCTAAGGTCTACGCGAATTTGTTGAGCCAAATATATGATACCGGAAACACATCGTCTTTTGCCCCAAAGAACTTCAAGCAGACGCTAGGCAGAGCGAATGGTCTCTTTTCAGGTTACGGTCAACAAGATTCCCAAGAATTCGTTAGCTGGCTTGTTGATGCGCTGCACGAGGATCTCAACAGGGTGCGTGTCAAACCCTACCGAGAAAATCCTGATTCGGACGACAACACATTCAAAGATCCAAACGCAGTCAGGCAGCTTGGAGAGACTTATCGAGAGAATCACCGTGCTCGCAACGACTCTGTAGCAATGGATCTCTTCAGTGGTGTGTACTCCTGTCTTGTTGTCGTCTGTAGACGCTACAAGCTCATTTTATTAACTCACGATGCAGGTTTTTACAAGAACACGATGGTGTGTCCAGAGTGTGATAAAGTCAGCATTACATTCGACCCTTATAGCCAGCTCACGCTTCAACTGCCAATCGAACAGACTTGGACCCACACAATCACCTACGTGCCACTTCTAGGCAGACCCTATCAGCTGGAGGTTGATATCGATAAGAACGCAACAATCAAAACCCTGAAAGAATACGTTGGGAAGCGTGGTGGTGGTGTACCAGCAAAGCGGATCATGGCTTCGGAAGTATACAGCCACAAGTTCTATCGACATCTGGACGACGCTTCAACTATCGCAGAAACAAATATTGGAGCGAGAGACGACATATATTTCTACGAGTTGGACCATGCGCCCAGCAATTGGCCCGCCCCTAAGAAGAAGGGCTCAAAGTACAAGGTGCTGCTGCATGGTTCCTCTGATGAAGACATACCTGACTCAGCATCGCCCCTACATGATAGGGTTGTGATTCCAGTCTTCCACCGTGGTCCGAGTGCCTCATCCTACCGATCGCAGAACTATGCTATGGCCTTGTGGCCGTTCCATATCGTACTCACGCGTGAGGAGGCTAGAGACTATGACACAATACTACGCAAGGTTCTTGCAAAGGTGGCCCAAGCAACTACTAGGCCTATACTGAGCGAGCTCAATTCTCAGCCCTCGCAGACACAATCGCGATCTGGTTCAGATGTTGTTCTCACGACTGAGGAAGATGCTTCGCCCAATGATCCTCAAGTCAAGGATGGATCGATTGAGGGTGAAGACATGGTGGAAGTAACCATGGCCGAACCTGCGGAAGCCCCTCTGTATCAATCTCCGTCTCAAGCTAGTAACCAGCAAGAAGTGCCGGAAGTACTGAGGCCAGGCAGCTTTATACCACCCGAGTTTAGGTAAATTCCGCCTATGATCAAAGACAATAGGAGAAATAACTGACGCTTTGCTAGGCAACTTTTCGATCTGAAGCACACTAAAAAAAGTGGCGAGTTTGTCACTACAGGATGGAGTACTGTCGACCATTCGCGGGCACTTGATTCCATCACAAAACGCATTCGTCTCCCACCATCACGAGAAGAATCTACGCAGTCGTCAACTGCAGGCGAGAGCACTTCTAGTGACGAAGACGAAGAACCAGCCAATCTTGACGCAAATGCCGCCATTGATGCTGCCAACGTTAGCAGTGACGAAGACATGGTCTCCGTTGAACAAGATACAGCTGCCCCCCGATCTGGCAGAGGCAAGAAGAGCAAGAAGGCGAGAAAACAACAGCGGAAGCACGAAAGAAAACATAGGAACAACAAGAACTTCAAGCCCAAGAAGGGACGCATTCCTGATCAGCCAAACTACTCTGACGACCCCGATGATGAGAGCGACGATAGGTTGATTCGTATGGGCGAGGCACTTGTTGTTGAATGGAACCCCGAAGCCTACGACGCCCTCTTTGGAGGTAGCACCAAAGATGATCCTCGCGGGCAGGACGCCATGAAGTTCATCGAGACACTCGATGATCCTGAGATTCAAGAAAAGAAGGCCAAACGCCTGGCTCGCCGGAAACACGGCATCACTTTAGAGGAGTGTTTCACAGAGACATCTAAGAGTGAAGTACTCTCAGAGGATAATGCGTGGTACTGTAGCCGATGTAAAGAGCTCAGGCGTGCTACAAAGACGCTGGAAATCTGGACTGTGCCTGATATCCTCATCATCCACCTGAAGCGTTTCAGTGGCCATCGCTCTTTCCGGGACAAGATTGAGGAATTGATTGACTTCCCTGTTGAAGGCTTGGACCTCACCGGTAAAGTTGGTTTCCCAGAGTCAAAGGACCTGACGTACGATCTGTTCGCTGTCGATAACCATTACGGCGGGCTTGGCGGAGGACATTATACAGCCACTGCTCAAAACTTCTTCGACAAGCAGTGGTATGACTACAATGGTAAGCCCTCTCACCTCTTTCTAGAAAGGTTCATCGACTAATCCCACCAGATTCTATCGTCTCTAAATGCGAATCCGGCCAGAAAGCTGTCTCCCGCGCGGCTTACCTCCTCTTCTACAGACGCCGCTCCCCTACCCCTTTAGGCCCGCCTTCCCTACAACAAATCGTCACAGCCGCTGCGAGCCAAAACTCTGAAGATGACGCCGACGAAGCCTACTTGGACGCCCCGCGGCCCGGCTCACCGGCGGGAAACGGCTCGCGCCTCGGCGATTTGTCCCGCAATGGGTCGTCGAGCGCTGGCGCGATCGCAGCGGGAGTAGGAGCCCTGCGCGGGGCTGGCTCAGCGCTCTCAGTAGCCGGGAGCCGTCTAAAGAACGGAGTCGCAGCCGCGGAGAGCAACCTGAGTGACGACGAGATTGATGTTGATGTGGATGCAGATGCGGATATGGAGACTCTGCCATCCTATAGCCATGATGAAGGGTACGAGGATAACGAGGATGCAAGTGGAGAATATAGCGGGTATCCACATGCAAACGCTTACGACAACCCCATATGGAGTTTCAACAATCTCAATGACCGCGACGATGGCTCCGATGTTGCCTCTGATGTCCCCGCGCTCGGCTCCATGGGCGGCGAGGACTTGAATTCGCGCATGTTAGAGGATTTTGGAGAAGAATTGGGGACTCGGGCTGGGGTGGGCACACCGATTGGTGGAATTGCACCACCCTTGGGCCCTGAGAGTGATGATGACGAGGTTGCGGAGATTCGGCTGAGAGATGATTAAGAGATACGTGTTTTTTGTATGCGTCTGAGTCGCACGTGTGAATACGATGATGCGGTACGAGGATGAGAATTCAACCCAGCATAACGGATCGAAACCCAACCCCCCGGGTATGAGAAAAACAACGACGAGAAATGCATGATGGCGTACACGATATTGTTGCCTTGCTTTTCAGGACCCCATGGGCGGAATCCGCACCAGCCGCGGTTTGTTCACCAAATCAGTTGGCAAAAAGACTCCGTTGCGATGTCGGCTGTCCAGCGTCGTTTGTGCGCTTTTTTGTCTGTATCTGGGACTGTGTAGTCATGCATTATGAAGATTAGAATATCTTAGAAAGAGGGAGAGAGAGAGTTACGATGGGAATGCATCACTGGTATCGTTTTATGTTTGCATTTGTGCACGTTTTTGTTTTGTGATTATCTTGGGCAAGAAGTTTTTTAGGTTTTTTGGGAGCCCTGCTATGTGCTCTACTACATGTTCTACTTCCTCTCCACTCACCCCGCATGACCTAGTCCAGTGTTTGTGGTTATCCTAGTGCCAGAGATCTGGCTTTTATTTTGTTTCATCTTTCCGGCTGGATGTGACTTGCGCACAGCGCAGGTTGGTTTGAAATGCCTGTATTACCGCCCTATAGTACTAGGAGTTGCCGATAGGGAGGAGGATTGAATACTGTTTCCTTTCTTTTCTGGGCTCCCGCGTATGTGTGTCCCAGTTTACATGTAGTAGGGTATGGGATGGAGGGAAAGGGGAGGTTTGGGTAGTGATGGTAGGTATGGTGTTTACTTTATTCTTCATTTCACTTCACTTCACTTCACTTCGCCGCCGCCGCCGCCGCCGCCGCCTCCTCCTTCTCCCTCTTCCTGCGCAAATACCTCTCCTTCGCGCTCAAAATATCCGTCTCTGTCTTCTGGCTCTTAGCCGCGTGCAGCAGTTTAGCCTGCTGTTCAGCCTCTGCATCTGCTTTCCTTTTATTCGCCTGTTCGATTTGCTCGAGCACGATTTGCGTCTGGCGGTCGCGCTGGGCGTTGCGGTGAGATTTGTCTTTTTGTGCGCTGTGGGCATGTTGGTGCTGGGCGGCTAATGTGGTGGAGGTTGAAGTTGTGGGCGGGGGTTTTGACTTGACGATAACGTTGAGGCCTGCGCTGAGGAGTTGGCGTTTATCAGCGACTTGGCCGTCTTCGTTGAGGATGACGGTTTTGCCTTGTCTGCGGAGTTCTTCGATGCGTTCGGCTTCGGTTTGCTGGTCGATTTCTTCTTGGTTGGGGGCTGGGGGGATGTTGTGTTGAGGTCCGGATTTGAGGGCTTGAGCTGCGGCTTCCATGGTTTCTTGGTGTCGGCGTTCTTGCTCTGCGAGCATTTGTTTGTGGAATCCCTGCATCCCGTACTTCTTCTTTTTTTCCTCTTCTTCCTTTTGCCGAATCTTCTCCTCTTCTTCTGCCTTGCGTGCTTCTTCTTGTTGCGCCTTGTAGGCCCCCGTTACGAACTTCTCCTTGTCAGCGAATTCGTCGCCTTCGGCTTCGCGTTCGCGCTGGAGGAGCTTGTCGCGGGCGCGGAGATGGTCTTTTTCCCGCTGCTTGGCCGATTCAAGCAGCGTATCGAGGTATTTGGGCTTTCGCGCGGCGGCATCATCGCGTGTTGCTGCGGCCTTGGCGGCGGCTTGCGCGTGGAGCGCATCGTAAGCGGCGTCGTAGTCGTAGATGGTGGCGTCTGTTTCTGCAGCTTCACGGGCGCGGGCTTCGGCTTCGGTTGCGCTTGCGGAGTAGCCGATGGTGGTTGGATCGTCTGCTTTGGGCTTGGGTTTCTTGGTTGGAGGAGCGATGGGAGCGCCTTTTCTGGGCTTTTTAGTGGTGGGCTCAGAGGGGCCAGAGGTAGAGGGCAGGGCGTCGTCGTCGAAGTTCAACTCGTCGATTGCTTGCGCGTTGTCTGCGGCCTTGGATTTGCCTTTGATATCGTCGTCTTCATCGTCGAGGAGAGGCTTTTTCTTCTTGGATATTGGAATCTTCACATTGGATTTAATGAGGGGGGTCTTTGCTGCGAGATTGAATTTGAAAGCCATGATGTGTGATGTCTGAATGACTGAAAGGGAGTGCCAGGCGCAAGTCGCAAGTCGCAATGTTGTTAAGCGCCAAGGCTGCGTGCACCAGTGAGATGGCTCGACACCTCCGCACTTCTCCGCATCTTCACTCCTCACCACCACCATCACTACGTCAACACCATACTCGTCTTCAACCTTGATCCACCTATGCACAACTGGATACACGCACATCACAGTCCTCATCATGGAGGAGCAGGGTAGCGAAAGAGCAGGTGACGACGTCTACGAAAAAGCAAAGGCCTCGAAATTCCACTTCAAATCTGGCTCCAAACGTCGTTCCAAACAGCACCGAAGCGCGGACGAGGAGAAATCCCCAGATGAAGAGGAATCCACAGAGCGCAGTTCCAAACGACATCGTTCGTATAAATACGATGACGAGCGATCCAGCAAACGTGAGTCGAAGCGTAGGCACAGGCACAAGCATCACTCCTCTCACTCCGACCGACACCCCACCTCCACCCTCGACGGCGCATACTATGACCCCGACAACCAGCACCGCGAATCTCTCTACGATGGAATCCACGCAGAAACCACCGACCCTACCACCGCCTTCCGCGAATCCCTCTTCGACGCCCTCGCCGACGACGAAGGCGCCGCCTACTGGGAAGGCGTGTACGGCCAACCGGTGCACATCTACCCCGACACCAAGCCCGGCCCCAACGGGACGCTAGAACGCATGAATGAAGAAGAGTATGCAGACTACGTGCGCACTAAGATGTGGGAGAAGAGCCACCAGCACATCGTCGAGGAGCGCGCAGCCAGAGAAGAAGCAAGACGGAAGCGCAAAGCCCAGCAGAACAAAGCAGACGAGGCTATCGACCGCGATGAAGCAGAGCGAGATAGCATACGCAAGAGAATGGAAGAAAGTCTCCGCCGCGGCGAGGAAAGAAAACGCACAAAGGAGGCAGAAGCCGCATGGCACACTTACCTCTCCAAGTGGGCCGACCTCAAAAAAACGCCCCCGCTCCCATCCTCATCAGATGAGAACCCCACTTCAACCCCCCACCCCCGCACCCTCATCCCCTGGCCAGTCCTCTCCGGCAACCCAGCCCACATCGACAAACCCGAAATCGAGCGCTTCCTGAAAGCCAGCCCCGCGTGGAAACAAGATCCCGTTGCCCTGCTCAAGACAGAACGCGTGCGCTGGCATCCTGATAAACTGCAGCAGCGGTTTGGCAGGCTGGTGGATCAGGAGACAATGGCGCTGATTACGGCTGTGTTTCAGGTTGTGGATCGGTTGTGGGGGGAGAGGCGATGATGCTGGGGAGCGGGGGACTGTGGGGATTGAGTTTCTTTGGAGAGGAAAAGGGCAGTGGCAATAGTAGTACATGCATACTTTTATGGGGTGTTTGGGACATGTCATGGTGTCATGGTCTCCTGCCTGCTCATTTGCAAGGGACTTTGGAGTCGGGGAATGTACATGGGTTGTTTGTTGTTATGATACCCACTCATATCTGTTCTTATAATGCATATCCATATCCACGACCGTATTTGATTTTTAATTCCACGTCCACATCCATGAACATACCCGTTCTGGATCCGGATCCTGTCTCGATGCTGCAGTGATGAGAAGGCGGATATGAGAGAATGCCGGATACGATTGATGTCAAAACCCCTGCCAAAAAGCTTAGGTGGGACTTTGTGGACTATCAGTGCTACTATGCATCATCCTGGCCTCGACAACATCAATCCCAAGCTGCGACCCAGTCCTTTCCCCAATCATACAGCCTGATTTACACAATCCCCTCCTGAAACCGCTCGACCCCCCTCTTAATCTCCCTCACAATCTCCACCGCCTCATCCCCAGTACTAGCTTCAAAATCATACCGCTTCGTCTCCCGCTCCTTGAACACAATCACCCGAAACATCTTTGGATGCTTCTTGCTCACCTTGCTCCCCACCACGCTGCTGAAATGCACCGTCGTCGTCTTGCCCTGTCCTTCAACCCACGCACCGCCACCGCGCACGCCAGCTTTGGCACCGGACTCGCCGGGCATAATGTGCATATATTCGTTGTCGAGGGCGAGGATGCGCGACGTGGATGAGGCAAAGGACATGGGCTGTTTGCGGAGGACAGCGTAGCGGCGGTAGTAGCCTGTTGTGGAGAGGGCGAGACCCGTGGGGTCGGCGTGTTTGGCCAGAGGATGGATGAGGCCTGGGCCGGAGACGGCGGCGTTGATGCGCTCGCCTTTTTTCGTCTTCTTGGGCGCCGCGCCGGTGCTGATGACAAGCGGGGCATTAGGCGAAGAGGAGCCTGGAGAACCGGCAAGACCAAAGACACCATCGCCTATGAAGCGGCGGCGGCATAGGTCGAGATCCATGCGTGTATCTAAGGCTTCGACGGTACGGTCTGGTGGTGCAACCGTAGTGCTGCCACTGACTTTGAGGATGTAGAGGGCTTTTTCGAGACCGAGGTCATGGCACACTTGGTCGAAGATGTCGGCAATGTAGGTGTCCGTTGTGCAATGTACGGGTATGGCTTTTGTGTTGAAATTCTCGTCAGTAAAATGGACAGTGACTGTTTTGGGAGCACCGGTGCGACTGGCAGCGTGCGTCTGGGAAATCTTGGGCATATCGGCAAGGTTGCTTGTGTCTTTGCGTGTCGCTGTCGGTGCAAATGAAGGGCCCGTGATTGGGTTTCGGAAACTCTTTGCCCGGCTGGGGATGGGCTTGACGGGCTTCTTCTCCTCTCGTTCTGCCGGCGCATCGCCAGGCGTAGGCTCAGCGGAGGCCGCCTCTTGACTGTACAAAGGCGTGATCTTCTCGTTCTCTCCAATCTCTCGCGGTGTCGCTTCTACCAAAGCGAACTCGTCCCAGGGTTTATCTCGTGCGCGCGGTCGCATGCCTCGAGCATTGTTCGACGCAAAGTCCTTCAACGGCTTATTTCTCGTCAAGGGTGGAAATTCGTCGTCAACCTCACCATCATCGTACATTCGCATAACCCAGCAGTTGACATTCATCTTCTCGACCGGCAGCGGTGGCTCTATCTTTTCTTCCTGGTATCGATGAAGCGCATATCCAATCGCTTCTGCAACTGTAGGGCCTTCTCCTTTATCATTGAATTTTCGAATCAGGAGTTCTACAGGTTTTGAGGGTTTCGATGAGAATGGACAATAGAGCTTGATATATAGCGGATTTTGCTGCGCTTCGCTGGCAGCATTCCACCCGGCGAAACGTGCCAGGGGGTTTGATGGTTTCTGTTCTTTGGCTTTTAAAGCCTGCGTCAACGCACTGACTGGTAATACAAAGCTGATCGGTCTTGGGGGAGGTAAAGCTTGTAGTGTTGGGAGAAGGGGCTCTTTCTTCTTCCGTGGTGACATGTTTTGGAATGGTGTCAGGCCAGGCATATCGGGAAGTTGGACTGCTGGGGACGAGTCCAGGGCGTCACCGCCTGTGCCGATAAGAGAAGCGCTATCAGCCGATCCAGAAAACTCAGATGTGAGAGAGTCGTCCGACTCATCGTCTTCGTGCAAGGCTTCAAGACGTGCTCCGGCAATGCCCCCTTCGTCTTCTTGGGTTCTTTGAGACAGCAGCTGGCTGGTACCTGCGGCCTTGCGAGTCTTCACCCTCCTTTTCCTGAATGAGGAGTTGTCAAACTCGTTCTCTGATGACATCTCGCTGCTAGTAATCGTGTCTCTCCTTGGGCGTGTTTTGGCGTTCTCTACGGTGCCCAGTGAGCCTCGCAAAGTGTCGTCTGGCGGCCTTGAGGGTGATGTGATCAAAACCGAGGGACCTTCTCCAGCCTCTGCAAGCTCGTTGCGCAATGCTGAGCCTCGTGATGGGGACGAGCCTGAGCGCGTTCGCAGTGGCATCTTGGTGAACTTGATTTGGTTCGCGGGTCTATGTATTCTGGGTCAGTTTATAGTATGGGAGTAGTGGCGGACGATGCTCTCCTTACCTCTGCGCATCGTCATCTTCGTCACTCTCATCACTGAGGTCACTGCTGTCATCCTCTTCGAGCTGCTCCTTGCGCCGCCTTCGCTTCGCATTCAGCGTCGGTCCTACTGTGTCGTTGCTACCACCGCCCGTGACCATGCCACCCTCCTCTTCATCATCGCCAAAGCCCTCCGGCGCCTTGAGACCAGCTGAGCGCGGGGCCTGGAAGTATTCCGAGGTAATGGCCGTGGGGATCGGCGGTGAGTAAGTGCGCTTGATATCTGCTGCATTAGGTACCCAACCTGCGGCGCGGAAGGCAGGATTGTTCAAAACACTCGAGTCTACGTTGATCAGGCGTTCGCCGACGCCGTCTTTGATTGTGGAGAGATAGGCAGTTCGGAGCTGGTAGAGGACGAAGCTGCGGAGGTTCAATGTTAGCGCCTTCACAGCCAAGGGCGGAGGTGCTGCGGAGGGGGGCTTACTCCTCGTTCTGAAGGAGCGACATGATGCGATTAACGTGTCACGGCGTCATAGTCTCGTTGAGGGGAGGGGAAAGGAGGGAAAAGGAGGTTCAGGCCAGCTGAAGGGGTATCATAATCAAGTCATGGGGGGAGGAGGAGGAGGAGCCGTAGAGTCGGAAGTGCATGTGGGGTGTGGTGGTGAACGGGCATCTGGACCCTGGCGTTGTACGGTAACTTACCAGTAACTTACTTACCCTTACTTACCTAGTTGACGTTGTCGCTTGAGAGGATACACCTTCTCCCGCCACACTAAAATCTCAAATGAAAGCTAGCATGATTTCTACTGGATTACGTAGGCTTATTAAATAACTTTTAATACCAATCATAAGCCGTAATATATATATATATATATATATAAATAGGTGTAGGTCAAGCTACTCCACGAACAATTCCAACTTCAAGAGCCAAGAGGTCTTTAGCCGGATCAGCTCCTCCTACTCGCCGCTCCATGGATCAACCACCTGAGCTTTTTGATTACACGTCAGGGCGATGGATGGATGTTGACCCTCTCCTTATTCAATCCCATTATTGACGATGGAATGGAGATGGAACGATGTCTTGAGACATTCTGAAAGAAGACGTATTTTCAATGTAGCGGAACTCAAACGCCTCGCGACCGAGTGCGTCAATCGAAACGTAGAAGATGGCTCGATTTGAAGAACTTGCTGAAGGTGGTTTCAATCGAACTTTCCTAATCACTATGCATGATGGCTTCAAGTTCGTCGGACGCAATCCTTATCCAGTTACTGAGCCGAAGCATCTCATCGTTGCAAGTGAAGTCGCGACCATGGACTTCCTCCGTTCACATGTCATACCTGTTCCTAAGGTTTATTGTTACTCAGCTACGTCGGAGAATACTGCTGGCACCGAATATCTTTTTTATGGGACTAGTCGATGGAACAAATTTGGGTGATATTTGGGTTGACTTGTCTAAGAAAGCCAGAATCACCGTTGTGACCAAACTCGTAGAGTTTCCGGCAAGCGATAGTCTGTACTATACTAAGGACCTGCCAGCGGAGTACAAGAAAGTCGATGTTCCTATCGCCGAATCCGAGCAAGATAGTCGCTTTTGCATTGGCCCTGACACGAGACTCAGCTTGTGGTATGGAAAACGACTTGACATCCAGGTTGATCGCGGACGATGTACGTATCAGCTCTGCATTTGTGTTCAGACAATCGATCTGCTCCGAGTCATTTCATTTTCTGCAGGCACTCTTTGCTAAGTACCTACCAGACATGGACCCAACAGCAGCTCCAACATTTGGAGCTAAAAAGCAGATTGCACATTTGACGAAGTTCGGCCAACCACTTCACCCCTTTCAACGTCTACGCAGAGAGATATACGATTATCAGAAGCAATCACCCTCCGATCATCTAGACAATCTAGAAAAATACTTGCGAGCCGTTCCCTATATCATGCCAACGGGCGACGACACTCCTACACGCCCAATCTTGAGACATCCTGATCTCCAACCGAACAATGTGTTCATCTCCGATGATCTCAACATTTTCGGCCTCATCGACTGGCAACACTGTGCAATACTGCCGCTCTTTCTGCAGTGTGGTATCCCAAACAGTCTTCAAAATTACGGCGACAGCGTCTCAGAATCACTGACACCCCCTGAGTTGCCACACAATTTCGACGATGTTAGCGAAAGCGAACAATTTGAGCAAGACCTGCTTCTACGTCGGCGTCAACTTCACTACTTTCATGTCGCAACGACGGCAAAGTTTAATTCCACGCACTATGACGCTCTAACTGACGACTTCAGCGCCTGGAGGCGCAAACTTTTTGATCACGCGAGCGATCCTTGGGAAGGCGATAACGTGACGCTCAAAGCCGACCTGATTCAATTAATGAAAAATTGGTCCAGCATTGCCACTTCAAGTTCGAGCATGAACGACCATGCTAGTCTCCCTTACCCAATCAACTTCTCCGAAGATGAGATAAGCGAGTGTTTGCGCCTGAATGCTGCGCAGATCGAGGCAGACGAGCAGCTCCAGACTTGTAGGGAGTGGGATCGAAGAGTGGGTGCCCTGTGAGTAATATGATGAAATAAAGCAACGTGCCAATAAACTGAAAGCCGATGCCCTAGAGGCAGCTGAGTCTGGGGAGGAACGACTGAGATTATGCGAGCATTGGATTTTCGATGATTTTGATGAGGAGTATTCGTAGGAAACGTCATGACTATGCAGAAGGATAAACGACGCAAACTAGATCACTTTCTTTTGTCTCAATGTGTTACTATAGGAAACGAATTTTAACGTCGAACAAATTACAAGGCCTTGAACAATTGTACTCTGGACTACCGGTATGTACTATGACTGAAAAGGCAATGTTCGAGCCTTCGCCTTTGATACTAATAATGTATCTATGTATACAACTTAAATAAAAAAATAGTAAGCCTAGAGCTATAATACCTTATTTTATCCTAAAGTAGGGATGTGTAGCTTAGCAGCTGATAGAGTGCTAAAATTTAGCGCGCCGGGATGAATTGCGTCCTGGTCGCCGCGCCCTCACAACTCTCACACCCCTCTCAACTGCGGCCCACGACCGCCACATCGCCGCCAACGCCATGAACCTCACCGCTTACTCCGACTCCGAGTCCGATGGCGAGGCGCCGCCTGTGACCACATCTGTCGCGAAACCACTCTCCAAATCCTCGTTCCAAAGAGTCGTTGACCGCTCGAATCCTGGGCGCATCAAGGTCAACCTACCCGGCGCAACACAGTCACACACCAAGGACAATACGCCCGACGATGCACCGCCATCGAAGAAGCCGCGTCTGGGCGGTGGTGGACTCAGTGGATTCAATGCAATGCTACCTGCGCCCAAGAAGCCCAACGCCAACGCCATATCAACATCGGCGAGCAGCAATAGCGACACTAGAGGTTTAGGAAAAGGATTGGCTTCGGGTGTCAATCTGAAAACGGGCGCAGAACCTGCATTCAAGAGGGAGCCTAGAGTCAACATGGATGAATACGATGAGAATGGCAATGTCATCAAGAAGGAACCCATGAACAAGGAAGACTTTAGGGCTATGTTGAATCTCCCCTCGCCCAAGACGGAGAAGAAGGAAAGAACTGCAGACGTCTCTGAAGCGGCTGTCGAAATCGCCCCAACGGAGCCTCAAGAAGCGCCCAAGCCCGCTGCTCCACGCTTCGTGCCCATGTCCGTCGGCAAGGGAAAGAAGAAGAAAAAGCCCACCATCTCACGATCAGCAAACGACCCAGAAAACACATCCGAGACCTCCACCTCCGCGCCCTCCCCTTCACAACCCCTCCTCGAGGAAACCGCACCACCACCACGCAAACCAAAACTCTCCCTCTTCGGCGTAACCACCAACCAAACAGATCCCTCCTCCCAACCAACACCATCAACCCCCTACCAACCCCTCCTCTACAACCCCTCCCCCACCCAACCCACCCCCCAAATCCCAAACCCCACCCTTCCCTCCCCCTCCTCCTCCTCAGAACCCCCCGCCCTCTCCACCCTCGCATCAACCCTCCACCTAACCCCCTCCGAACTCCGCCAACTCCTCCCAAAACAACACTCCAAGAACCCCTCGGCCCCGAAAATCCTAACCTTCAACACAGACGCAGAGTACGCTCACAACGAACACCTGCGTCACCAGGCAGACCAGGCGCCGCAGCACCATGCGCTTAAGAGTATTTCGGGGACCGGGAAGAATAGTCTTAGGAGTTTGGTGGGGGTTGCGGCGGCGCAGAGGGAGGCGTTGGAGGAGGGGTGGGCGAGGGGGAAGGGGAGGAGGGGGGATATTGGGTGGGAGGGGGGCGTTTTAGGGTGTTGGGGTTTAGGGGGGTTTCGATGGAGGATGGGGATATGGCAGGGCAGGATATTGTGCAAATGGCAAAGTATCATTTTTCACAGTCTACATGGAAAATGTCCCGCCTCTTCTTACTTCTCTTTCATCATCACCCCCCCCCCCCTTAATAAAAACCATCTAAACTGTGACCACCCCTCCTTGTCTTCACTCTCTGAAGTGTTATAGCAGTACCTGTACGCGTAACTTCTACACGCTCCTTTCTAATCTTACTCTTATTAATACTATGCTCTTCTGAACCAGGAATACTCTTACTAATTCTACCTTTAT